GCCTCTAGAGCGAAAGAGGGAGGGGGAGACTGTGTGTGTATGGCGCATATAGCGGACAACGCGCAAGAGGATCAAGTGGGACAACGACCGCCAGAGACCTTCTTTCGATCTCCCATACCTGATGTATACAGGGTTGTACATATAGGTATAATATATACAAGGAGGGACGAGAGGCCCCGCGTCTATATACGTATACAAACATTACAGCTCCACCGGGAGCTTTCTTCTCCTCCTCCTGGAGGTGCATGTTCGGCAGCAGCTGCATCGGTCGACGATTCACTTGCACACTCTTTCTCTCTCTCTCTCTCTCTCTCTTTTCGCTATTATACACGGCGCAGGCGAATGCGCGCGCTAGAAAAGCATTACGCGCTTCCTTGACGTGTATGTATGTATTACATATATATATATCCTAGGGGGGCCGTTAGCTCCGTTATGCGCTTTCCACGTTGCGAGTGCGCGCGAAAAACGGGGCCAGCACTGATGGCTATGATGACGGATTGGCGCGCGCTGCGAACGACCGACAGAGAAATAATGAGACTCTCCGTAATGTATGTGTGTGTGTGTGTGTATATGTGTGTCCTATAGACCGCAACACTGTACGTGTATTATGTACTTATTTTGTTATTAGCAGCGCGCGGTCTATACATATATTTATACCTACGTCGCTGTGGAGAAAGAGAGAGACGGAGCGAAAGGAAGAGTCGCGAGGGATTCGGGGTCGAGTTCGCGCGGTCCGATGTTATTTTTTTTTTCATTTTTTTTTTTTTTTTCGTTTTACGTTTAAATGTGTATAGATAGGATAGCTGTACTCTACAACGTCAGGAAGGATTTTCCAGAATTCCAGAGTAATTTTTTTTTTTTGCTTTTTTTTCTTTTATGATACACTTTGTCGACGATAAAGACCGATACTTGACGTTTTGGAGAAAAGGAGCACGAGCGATAGAGTTGAGAAAACTTACATGTAAAACCATGATTATAATTTTACCAGTAAAAAAAAGAAAGGAAAAAAAAAATGAAAATTCCCGAAGAGGAAAACGAAACGATAAATAATTGATAAAGTGTAGTCTTGGAAGACCGTATTAATTTTTTTTTTTTTTTTTTTTGGTCGAAAACCACGTAACTTTATTGCAACTGCAAGATACGAAAGTTCAAAGGTACGACTCATCGTGCCAAATGGCCATATAATATTCGCATCCAAGCCATACATTGGCATATAATGTACACGAGCTCCGTAAACGTTTCCCAAGAAAAAAAAAACCATCGATCAGACTCCTCGCCCGTTCGGGTCAACGACACCGCCGTATACACGCCACCTCGTTACACACACATGTGTTTATTATATACGCCCGCAAGAGCAATCCGATCCAAATCCGGGCGAGTGCATCTCTCCCCCACTCTTCCCGCGTCTCCTAGGATGTACACATACGGCGCCTTTTTTTTTTTTCTTTTCTGCAAAACTAACCGAACCAAAGCCAGCGAGAAAGACGGAGAGTCGGCGAATAAGGAGAGATCAACGACCCCGGCCGGGCCGCGCGTATCTGGGTTAGTAGTCGCGGCCGATTCGCTGCCACTGCTGCCGTGGAAATTCTTCTCTAACGAGCCTTGCCTATCCCCCCCCCCCTCCCCTCCCCACCTCTTCTCTTTCCCTTTTTCCGAAAGAGAAGTGCAGCACCGCTAGATTTCTCTCTTCCCTTCCTCCTCCTCCTCTTCCTCTGCTTGCATCGCTGAGCTACCCAGCTGCTACTGCAGGTACATGTATATGCGCATATGCCCATTACTGTCGCTCGGCCCAGACCGTGACTTTGTGAAATCGAGGTGGCCAGCTACGTATACATACTACACTTGAGTCGCGACGTCCGCTGCCTATGCTCATTCCGCGCTGATTTACATTTGTTTCGCAATGCCGATTTTATTTTATTTTATTTTTTTCATTATTCAAAGCTATTGATGGTGGTTGAGATTGGAAATGCACGGAAAAGAAACGTCAAAGTCCCGACAGATCCACGATGCAAGCAAACTGTCGGCCACTTTCAAGTAGTACAGTCAACGTTTGGGACGGCGGGGATCGCGCGACGGCGAAAAAAAAAAAAAAAAAAAAAAAAAAAAAAAAAAAAAAAAAGGATCCCAATGCGATTGCATCGTGGGTACACGGGAAAAGAGAATAAAAAGCCGGTCGAGGCCAACGAACCCTCGCAGCTAGAGCGAGTCTTAGTCGCGCGGGAGGAAAAATCGGCAATTAATCGCACCGGTGCTCCGCGAAAGCGCGAAGAGCAGGCAAAAAGCGACCCAGCAGGAGGCAGAGTGAGAATAAGGAGGACGCCGGAGGCGCCAGTAAGAGCAACGCGCACACGAGAGGGAGCGAGTAACAGTACAGAGACGGACGGAAGAGCAACGACACACCACCGCACGGGGGTGAACCATCAGCAGCAGAGGGGAGGGGAAAGAAACAGAGAGAGAGTGAGGTAGGTCTGGTTATCTGTGCGTGTGCACCGGGAAAGGTGAACCAGACGCGGAAAACGAGAGCGCGCCGACGAGAGAGAGAGAGATGAACTCAACAAAAGCGTACATGTACATATACATGTATACCAATGCGTGGCGAGGTGGGTCGATCGAAAGCGCATATAGTGCAACTCTAAGCTGGCGGTGGTGGTGGTCCCTCCCACCGCTGGCTGTCGGTGGTGCGCGCGCTCGCGTGCAATAATATACACACACACACACACAGCCTGTCCCAAACGGGCTCGAGTTGAGCTAGGTCAGGTCTACCCGAGTTTCCGTGCCACCCACCCGCCAACACCACGTAGGTTACCCAACCAACGTGAGTGCAGCAGTAGCGTCACCGCTGGCCGATGCATCGTACTTGGGGACGCCGAGCGGCGGCTGCGTCTGACCATACGCTTTCTCGTTCTACTGATTGATTGTACGGCCATACAGTGGCTGCAATTTTTTCTTTTTTCGTTTTTTCGTTTTTCTTCTTTTTTTCATCGCGATCCACACTATTTGTCATGCATACGTAAAGATCGAGTGCACGGACACCGGGTCGTTTACGCGATTGACGGCTCGGCAAAGGTATAACACGCCCCCCCCCCTCGCGCGCGCGAATCGCGCATCGACATTACACGGCAAAAGTGCTCTCGAAGGGGGTGCGTGTGCGGACCCACGGGGTGGGTCGGAAGCGGCGTTAACCCGGAAGTAGGTGAATAGCTGGCGCGGAGGAGGAGATGGAGAGGAGTCAGTGCACCGGCGGCGCGATCGCACCGAGCCCGGCCGTGATTGACGTTACTACGACGGAGATGGTGGCGGACGATGGCCCGGTATCCCTGAAGAACCACCGGATTACGTAATTGCGCCGCGACGCGGGTGGAAACTTTGTCGGCCCGGACGGACAACGGCTGCAGAGAGCTGCAGCAGTGATAACGATAATAATCATATAGGTATATATACAACGTATCAGGTGAGAGGGGGAGCGAAGCCGAAGGTGAGGCAGTGCTGCAGGGGCTCGACGGGTGGGCGGGT